GTATCTCCCTCTTAACAAACTCCCAGCTATCATGAACTCCCTTTCCTTTTAATATTACTGTCCATGGGATCTCACCCAGCACTTCCCTAAGTTTTATGAAGTCGGTTTTCTTAAAGTCAAGAAATTGAGTCCTAGTACAGTGGTGCCCCGCAAGACAAACGCCTCGCAAGACGAAAAACTCGCAAGACGAAAGGTTTTTTCGTTTTCGAGTTGCTCGCAAGGCAATTTCCCTATAGGCTTGCTTCGCAAGACGAAAACGTCTTGCAAGTTTGTTTCCTTTTTCGTAAAACCGTTAAAACCCAGGGTGCATTGCTGGAAGAGGTGCAGTTGCGACTTGACTTCGAGGAGCAACTCATAGCACGCTGTGTGGTGGCCTTTTTGAGCTTTTTAAAGAGTTTGCTGAATTTTTGAAGCTTTTCCAAAACTTCTTTTGCAGCTGTTTGGTAAGTTAAACTTTTAAAACTTTTTTTGGGGGTTTTGGATTTTGGGTTGGGGTGTTTAGAATTCAAGGACTTGGTGTTGGGGAGAGGTTTGCAAGAATCTGGGAGCTTGTGTGGTTTTTTTCTGCATTTTTATGATTTTCTGTGACCATTGGGCCATGTTTATTTTTTTTTTTAAAAAAAATCTGGGTTTGAATTTCTGTGTGCTGGGTGGATGGGGGAACAGTTGAGGAGGGGTTTGCAAGAATCTGGGAGCTTGTGTGGTTTTTTCTGCATTTTTATGATTTTCTGTGACCTTTGGGCCATGTTGTTTTTTTTTTGGAAAAAATTTCTGGGTTTTGAATTTCTGTGTGCTGGGTGGATGGGGGAACAGCTGGGGAGGGGTTTGCAAGAATCTGGGAGCTTGTGTGTTGTTTTTTTTAATTTTTATGGTTTTCTGTGACCATTGGGCCATGTTGTTGTTTTTTGGAAAAAATTTCTGGGTTTTGAATTTCTGTGTGCTGGGTGGCTGGGGGAACAGCTGGGGAGGGGTTTGCAAGAATCTGGGAGCTTGTGTGTTTTTTTCTGCATTTTTATGATTTTCTGTGACCATTGGGCCATGTTTTTTTTTTAAAAAAATTTTACTGGGTTTTGAATTTCTGTGTGCTGGGTGGATGGGGGAACAGCTGGGGAGGGGTTTGCAAGAATCTGGGAGCTTGTGTGGGGTTTTTTTTTGAATTTTTATGGTTTTCTGTGACCATTGGGCCATGTTGGGGTTTTTTGAAAAAATTTCTGGGTTTTGAATTTCTGTGTGCTGGGTGGCTGGGGAAACAGCTGGGGAGGGGTTTGCAAGAATCTGGGAGCTTGTGTGGTTTTTTTTTGAATTTTTATGGTTTTCTGTGACCATTGGGCCATGTTGTTGTTTTTTTGAAAAAAATTCTGGGTTTTGAATTTCTGTGTGCTGGGTGGATGGGGGAACAGTTGAGGAGGGGTTTGCAACAGTTGGGGAGGAGTTTGCAACAGTTGGGGAGGGGTTTGCAACAGTTGGGGAGGGGCTGGGGGAACAGTTGAGGTTTTTGAAGACTTTGGTGATTTTTAAAGCTTTCCCAAAGCTTCTTTTGCAGCCATTTGAGGATTTTGAAGACTTTGGTGATTTGCAGCCATTTCGTAAGTTAAACTTTTAAAACTTTTTTGGGGTTTTGGATTTTGGGTTGGGTGTTTGGAATTCAAGGACTTGGTTCTGGGTTTGAATTGCTGATTTTTCTTTTTCTGAGTTTACGAAGGTAAGAGCTGTGCTGCCATGGGACCCAAGAAGACTGCTGCTGCTGTGGAGGCCGGCGAGAGGAAGAAGGAGAAGGTGACGCTGGAAATGAAGAAGGAGATCATCTGGAAGCACGACGGTGGAATGCGTGTGACGGACCTCGCCAGGGAGTACGGCAGGAACCCATCGACCATCGGGACCATCCTGAAGATGAGGGAGAAGATCCTTGCGACTGATGCAGCCAAGGGAGTCACCAGGATCGTGAAGAACTGCCCAGCTGTTCTGGAGGAGGTCGAGAAGTTGCTGCTCATCTGGTTAGAAGAGAAGCAGCGTGCAGGGGACACAGTGACTGAGGCTGTCATTTGTGAGACGGCCAAGGCCTTGCACGCAGACCTCATCCGGGAACAGCCAGGAACCTCAGGCGAGCCAGAAGTCTTCAAGGCAAGCAGAGGCTGGTTTGACCAGTTCAAGGCAAGATCTGGAATCCACAGCGTGGTCAGGCTTGGAGAGGCTGCCAGTTCTGATGTTCCTGCGGCTGAAGACTTTGCCTTGGAGTTCCTGGAGGCTGTGAAGACAGAGGGCTACGTTCCACAGCAGGTCTTCAACTGCGACGAGACCGGGCTGTTTTGGAAGAGGATGCCCAAAGGACTTTCCTCACACAGGAGGAGCCCAAGTTGCCTGGCCACAAGCCCATGAAGGACCGTCTGACCCTGCTCTTCTGTGCCAACGCAAGCGGCGACCTGAAGATCAAGCCCCTGCTGGTGTACCACTCGGAGAACCCACGGGCCTTCAAGAAACACAAGGTCGACAAGGAGCGGCTGAGTGTCATGTGGCGATCCAACAGCAAGGCTTGGGTCACACGTGTGCTGTTTTTGTGGACTGGGTCAATCTTGCTTTTGGCCCTGCTGTCAAACAGTACCTGCTGGACAACGACCTGCCGCTGAAGGCTTTGCTTCTGATGGACAATGCTCCTGCTCATCCTAAAGGCCTTGAGGTGGACTTGTTGGAGGAGTTCAGCTTCATCAACATCATGTTCCTGCCGCCTAACACCACGCCACTGCTCCAGCCGATGGATCAGCAGGTCATCGCCAATTTCAAAAAACTCTACACCAAGGAGCTTTTCAGGCGATGCTTCGAGGTCACTGATTGCACCACCATGACCCTGCGGGAATTCTGGAAGGACCACTTCGACATCGTCACCTGCTTGAAGATGATCACCACGGCCTGGAATGGGATCAGTCAGAGAAATTTGAATTGCGCTTGGCGCAGCCTGTGGCCGGACTGTGTGGCACCAAGTGACTCTGATGCACCAGAGTCAACAGTGGTGCAGGACATTGTTGCCTTGGGGAGGACCATGGGCCTGGAGGTCACAGAGGAGGACGTCTGCGAGCTGGTGGAGGAGCACGACCACGAGCTGACTACCCAGGAGCTGGTTGAACTGCAGTCAGAGGTTGCGCAGGAGCAGGCCTCGCTGGAAGAGGAGGAAGCAACTGAGGAACGGCTGTCCTCCAAAGAACTGAGGGACATTTGCCAGAAGTGGAAGGAGGTGCAGGCTTTGCAGAGCGGCACCACCCTAACAAGCACGTGGCACATGACCAAGCGAACACTTTTGATACTGACGGTCATGTTGCCTCTCAGGGAGCTGCTGAAAAGGCGGATGAAGCAGCAGACCATGGACAGGTTCCTCAGCAAGAAGCAAAGAGTGGAAGAGGAACCTTCTTCGAGTGGTCCCCCAGAGTCTTAGAAAATGTAATGTACCCTTTTTTGATTTTTAAATGTTTTTCCTTTCATGTTTAGAAACTTAATTTATTGTTCCTTCAATTTTTGATATGCTCTTTAAAGTATGTGTGACTTTAAAGAGCAGTTAATAAACTATTGTTGTACCAAATTTGGCTTTGATTGGACTTTTTGACCATAGGAACGCATTAATTGAATTTCAATGCATTCCTATGGGAAACCGTGCTTCGCAAGACGAAAAATTCGCTAGACGAAAAAACTCGCGGAACGAATTAATTTCGTCTTGTGAGGCACCACTGTATGCTTGGCTGCTCCTTTCCGCTGTATAGTAAACTTCAGAAGAGCATGATCACTCGCGCCTAATGATCCTTCCACTTCTACCCCACTAACCAGGTCATCAGCATTGGTTAGGACCAGATCTAAAATGGCTGTTCCTCTTGTTGCTTCTCCCACTTTCTGGACAATGAAGTTGTCTGCAAGGCCAGTGAGGAATCTGTTTGACCTTATGCTCTTGGCTGAGTTTGACATCCAACAAATATCTGGGTAATTGAAGTCCCCCATTACTACTATCTCCCTTCCTTTTGCATACTTGGCCATCTGTTCCAGGATGGCATCATCTATGTCCTCCGTTTGGCTTGGGGATCTATAGTAAACTCCCACAATGAGGTCACTGTTATTCTTCTCTCCCTTAATTTTGACCCAAATGCTCTCACTTTGGCTTTGAGGTTCTAAATCTTGGATCTCTTCACAGGTATACACATCCCTGACATATAACGCCACTCCTCCTCCTTTCTTGTCTGGTCTGTTTCTCTGAAATAGATTGTATCCCCCATTATTACATTCCAATCGTGGGACTTATCCCACCAGGTTTCAGTGATGCCTATTATGTCATATTTAGTTTGCTGTACCAAGAGCTCAAGCTCATCTTGTTTATTTCCATGCTTTGCGCATTAGTGTACAGACATTGAAGTCCATTAATCATTTCCCCGTGTCTCTTATTTAAGGATTTTTTCCTCCCACCACTAGGTCTGTGTGCTGTTTGCTCCATTTGGTCTATGACATTTGGATGATCATCTTCATCAATTGATAGACTCCTACCTTCAGGAGCACTGTCTCCCTCCCCACATTAGTCAATTTAAAGCCCTCCTGATGAGGTTTCTGAGATTTTTGGCAAAAACATTTCTCCCAACCATTGTGAGGTGCAGCCCATCGCTTGCCAGAAGTCCATCTTCAAGAAACTGCAGTCCGTGATCTAAGAATCCAAACCGTTCCTGTTTACACCATTTGCGAAACCAGCTGTTCACTTCCACTATTTCCCCCTCTCTCCCTGGGCCACGTCGTTCAACTGGGAGGACAGATAAGATGACAATTTGTGCATTTAATTGCTTCAATTTCCTTCCCAGAGCCTCGTAGTCTCTTTTGATCTTCTGGAGGCTATTGCTTGCAGTGTCATTGGTTCCCACATGAACCAAGAGGAAGGGGTATTTGTCAGTGGGTTTTATGATTCCTTGCAGTCGTTCAGTTACATCTTGGATCTTAGCCCCGGGGAGACAGCACACTTCCCGAGACATCTTGTCTTTTTTTTTTTTTTTTAAATAAATTTTTATTAATTTTCCAAACACAAAATAAAAAGACAAACAATACACAATACACCGACATACAAACATATAAACATGTATAATTTCATAACCATTTTTTCATAAACCTTACTTTCCGGACTTCCCCATACCTCCCCTTTTCTGCATCCTTGTTTTATATTTTTTCAGCAACTCCTCAGTCGACTAATTATTCAATTCATTTTCTTTTAAATTCTTCTAATATTGTTAATTACAGCTGCAATTCTCTGTTTCCCTACCCCTTGACATTTTAACATTCCTGAATTTTACAACAAGTTCTAAGATAAACTTTGAATTTCTTCCAATCTTCTTCCACTGTCTCTTTCCCCTGGTCACGGATTCTGCCAGTCAACTCCGCCAGTCCCATGTAGTCGATCACCTTCGTCTGCCATTCTTCCAGTGTGGGTAGTTGTTGTGTCTTCCAATACTTTGCTAGAAGAATCCTTGCTGCTGTGGTCGCATACATAAAAAACGTCCTGTCCTTCCTTCTCACCAATTGGCCGACAATGCCCAGGAGAAAAGCCTCAGGTTTTTTAGGGAAGGTCCATTTAAGAACCTTCTTAATTTCATTATAGATCATTTCCCAAAAAGCTTTTATCCTCGGGCAGGTCCACCAAAGGTGATAAAAGGACCTTCAGTCTCATTACATTTCCAACATTTGTTATTGGGCAGATGATAAATTTTTGCAAGCTTGACTGGGGTCATGTACCACCTGTACATCATTTTCATAATGTTTTCTCTTAAGGCATTACATGCCGTAAATTTAGTACCGGTGGTCCAGAGCTGTTCCCAGTCAGCAAACATAATGTTATGACCAATGTCTTGTGCCCATTTTATCATAGCTGATTTCACCGTTTCATCCTGTGTGTTCCATTTCAACAGCAGATTATACATTCTCGACAGATTCTTAGTATTGGGTTCTAACAGTTCTGTTTCTAATTTTGACCTCTCCATCTGGAAACCTATTTTCCTGTCCTGTTTAAATGTCTCGTTTATCTGAAGGTAGTGCAACCAATCTCGCACTTTGGACTTTAATTTCTCATAACTCTGTAATTTAACTTTTTCCCCATCTTGTTCTAAAATTTCACAATATTTTGGCCATTTAGACTCCATATTAAGTTTTTTCACCTCTTTAGCTTCCATTGGTGACAACCACCTGGGAGTTTTACTTTCCAGTAAATCTTTATACCGCATCCAAACATTATATAATGCTTTCCTAACAATATGGTTTTTGAAACCTTTATGCAGTTTTACCTTATCATACCATATATATGCATGCCAGCCAAATCTATTGTCAAACCCTTCTAGATCCAAAATGTCTGTATTCTCAAGAAGTAGCCAATGTTTCAACCAGCAGAAAGCCGCCGATTCATAGTAGAGTCTTAAGTCCGGCAGGGCAAACCCCCTCTATCTTTTGCATCAGTTAGAATCTTAAATTTTATTCTGGGCTTTTTGCCCTGCCAGACAAATTTAGATATATCTTTCTGCCACTTCTTGAAACAGTCCATCTTGTCCAAAATCTGCAATGTCTGGAATAAAAACAACATTCTAGGCAATACATTCATCTTGATAACAGCAATTCGACCTAACAAAGAGAGTTTCAACCTTGACCATATTTCTAGATCTTTCTTTACCTCTGTCCAACATTTGTCATAATTGTCCTTAAATAAATTGACATTCTTAGATGTTAAGTTTACCCCCAGATACTTTACTTTTTCGTTATCACTAAACCTGTTTCATTCTGAAACTTCTCTTTTTCAGCCAATGTTAAATTTTTGTCCAACACTTTCGTTTTCTGCTTGTTCAGTTTAAATCCTGCTACTTGACCAAATATCTCAATTAGTTCTAATACTCTTTTAGTACTAGTATCTGGCTGTTGCAAGGTCAGTACTAGGTCATCTGCAAATGCCCTTAGCTTGTAATGTCTAGCTCCGACTTGTACTCCTTTAACCAACTGGTCTCCTCTAATCATGTTTAACAAAACCTCCAGGACTAATATAAAAAGTAAAGGGGATATTGGGCACCCCTGTCGTGTACCTTTTTCTATAGATATTTCTTCCGTGACCACATTGTTTACAATTAACTTTGCTTTTTGTTTAGAATATATTGCACCTATACCGTTTTCAAACCCTTGACCTACCCCCATCCCTTGGAGATTCTTCTTCATAAAGCTCCAACCAATATTATCAAAGGCTTTCTCCGCGTCCACAAAAATTAAAACAGCCTTCCTATTGATGTCCACTTCTAACAGTTCCAAAATGTCTATAATGTTCCTCACATTGTCCGACATATGTCTCCCTGGAAGAAAGCCAGTTTGGTCCTTATGAATCTCCCCTACCAACACTCTCTTCAGTCTTTTTGCCATAATGTCTGCAAAAATTTTGTAATCCACATTGAGTAATGATATAGGGCGGTAGTTTTTAACCTGGTTCTTTTCAGTTTCAGTTTTCGGTATAAGTGAAATAAAGGCTTCTTTCCACGACTCTGGTGCCTTTTTCCCCTCCAAAATTTCATTGCATACTTCCTTCAGTGGTTGTACTAGCCATTCCTTCAACGCTTTATAATATCTGGCGGTCAAACCATCTGGTCCTGGAGATTTTCCCAATTGCATCTTCTGAATGGCACCCTCTATTTCTTGTCCTGTTATTTTCTCATTCAAAATCCTTCTGCTTTGCTCTGAAATTTTTGGTAATCCATGTTTCTTAACAAATTCTTCTATTTCCTGTTCGTTGACTGGCCCTTGTGCATATAATTTCCTGAAGTAACTTTGAAAACAATTACTTATCTCGTTTGGTTTGTGGATAATTTTTCCATCCACTTCTAAACTTGTCACAGTGTTCAGTTTTTGCCTCTTTTTCAATTGCCATGACAGAAATTTCCCACATTTATCTGCTGATTCAAATGTCTTTTGTCTCATTTGCTTTATTTTCCATTCTATCTCTTGATTCATCAATTCCATATATTGCACCTGATAGTGCTTTATTTCTCTCAGAATCTCATGGGACTTTGGTTTAGACCTCAATTTCTTTTCACCTTCTTTTATTTTTTCCAGAATTTTTTCTTTCCTTTCATTTTGATTTTTCCTCTTTATGGAGTTCTGTTGTATTAGAAAACCTCGCATCACGGCCTTACTTGCGTCCCAGATTATTCTGTTTCCACTTCTGTTCTCAAATTTATCTCAAAGTAATCTTTCAGTGTTTTTTGGGCCTTCTTATAAATCTCTTCATCTCTAAATAGGGTGTCATTCATTCTCCATCTAAAGGATCCAGTTGATGTTAGTTTCATCTCCATCTTTACAGCATTATGGTCGGAGCAAGTCTTTGAGCAGATTTCTACCTTCTTGATCCTTGGCGCCATACTGCTAGTTACCCAAATTTGGTCAATTCTTGTCCATGTCATTTTTGCTTCAGAGAAAAAGTTCCCTCTCTCTCAAGAGGGTTCCTTGTTCTCCAAATGTCAATCAAGTCCATAGTTTCAGTCATTTCAAAAAAGTCTTTGGTAGTCTCCTTCCTTGGAAATTACTTGTCTTTGTGCTTTGTCCATATTTGTGGAAACTACACCATTCATGTCTCCCATCATTACTACTCTATAGTCTAAATAGTCCATTAAAGTCTCATGCAGCTTCTTAAAGAATTCCGCCTTCCCGTCATTTGGTGCATAAATTCCGACTATCAAGATTTTTCTCCTTGAACTTGTATTTCAATTGCCAGGTATCTTCCTTGTTCATCTTTAAATATCATCTTTGGGGCCAATTTTTCTTTTGCATAGATCACCACGCCTCTTTTCTTAACTTTGTCTGATGAAATAAATTCCTGTCCAAGTCTCTTGTTTACCAATAATTTCCTATGTGTCCTGGTCACATGGGTCTCTTGTAGACATATTAGGTCTAATTGTTCTCTTTTCAAAATATGAAAAACTTGACGTCTTTTCGGGAAGGTTCAAACCATTACAATTCCAACTAAGAAGCTGCAGAGACATTTTGTTATTTAGGTACCTGTTCCACCGACTGCTCCTAACTTTTGTTCATCTTCAGATGGTGGTATGAGTCCAAATGACAAGTTTGCAATGTCTGTCACTCCTTTTTCTTGTATTGTTGTTTCTACTGTTCCTTTCTGCAAGTCCTCCTGATATCTCTCCAAAAACTGTTCTTTATCTTGAACTGTTCTTATTTTGACCTTCCTTCCTTTGAAAGTAAAAGACAATCCTTGTGGAAACTCCCACCTGAAGGGTATGATATTTTTCTTCAGCAGGTAGACCAAATCTTTATAGAAGGCTCTCACCTCCAAAATATATTTAGGGATATCTTTAAAAATTTGTACTTGACTATTTTCAATCTCCAATGCCTTTTGGTAATGCAAGTTCAATATTTTATCTCTTTCTCCTTTGGATCTCAATGTGATCAAACAATCCCTTGGCTTCTTACCTTGCCTCCTGCCCAGCCGAAAAGCTGTTGTTATTTCAAGATCTTCTTCCTGCAGCTCCTTTTGCCAAAATTCCATAAAGTTCTGTGTAAGGAAGTCCACAAGGCTATCTCCCTCACTCTCGGAACCAATCTCAATTTCAGATTTCTCTCTTTTCTCTGTAATTCCAGCAAAGATAGGGCTGCATCATGTTCATTCACTTTTTTTGTAATCGGCACAAGCTCCTCCCTTGTCTCCTCTGCAGTATTTTTGCACTTTCAGCAATCTTTCGTGTTTCAGAACTTTCTTGAATTAATTTATTAATAGATTCTGTATTAGATGTTACACTTGCAGTATTCAAGTCCAATCTTGCTGTCAGTTCTGTCAATTTTTTGAATTTTCCGTAGATAGCTTTGTCAGTGCTTCTAAAGATTGGTTTATTTTGAGCAGTGCCTGTGTCATTGAATCCATAGATGCTGTTGCCACTTTTTCCTGTGCAGCTGGTGGTATGCCAGATATTGAGCCCCTTTTCTTTTGTGTCTGTTTTGCTTTGGATCTAGTTGTTATCTCTTCTGCTGGACCACTCATATCCTCAAGGTCGTTCTCACAGGAAAGACTTGCAAGTGGAAAATCCCACTGTTTCTTTTTCACTATAACAGTTTCTCTTTATACCCTCTAGAGGGAGCATTTAATTGTATCCAAGTGAAGAGAGAAAGAACAAAGGAACATAGAGCAATCAACAAAAAATCCAAGAGTCCACAGTAAAAGTTTCTGTCGCACTTTTTCAGTATAGTCACAAGTTCAACAAAGTAATTCCATTAAAGTCCCGTAACTTTGTCTCAGAC